GCTTTCATTTTTGCTATGACCAGTTTGAGCTTACTTCAGCAGAGCTGCTCTCTAGTTGGGCTTACACAGCCCTTTCTGAAGGTGGATTATAGCTGCAGTTGTAGCAAAGAGGAACCTTTTTAAACAGAGCAGCTGAAAAGCCAATAATGCTGTGCTATCTACACTCCTGGCCTCTGGCAGGGCCCAGGCAGAGCTGCAGCTTGGGAGATGCCCCACATATTTGCATGCAAGCCCATCTGCGGCTGGGAGCCCAGGCATGCTTCACCTCTGTCAGCATCTATCCGGGCAAAGAAACCCTAAATGGGTCACAGCGGTAGCCAGCCACCCACCCTCGCTCAGCAGCAATGACCTTGCAGCAAGACAGGTAGACACATACTCGCAATGTGCTCCTGGAAGCACAGATGCATTTGCACAGATACTACCAACCATGGGGGCATTGGATGGGTGCATGACTGAAACTCTGCAGTGGCTCTCTCAGGTCCAGGTCTCTGCTTTCCTTAAACCATTCCTTTTCTGTCCAAACCTAAGCAAAAAAGGCATAATTTAAACCATGAAACACCCAGAATTTTTCTCATCAAACAAGGATTTAGGGATAGTAATTGCTCGTTTATATAGAGATGTTAGAGGCCCGGAATTGCTTTTGGAGAGTTCAGAGCACATGTGTTACAGGCTGTTGCTCGTCACATTCCTCATTTTCTTCCAGGTGAGTAGGCTAGTGGTTGGGGAATTTTGTTTCGGTTTTGTGCTTCAAGGCATCACAGAGCCTTGATCGCAAAGATCAGCATCACAGGGATGAAGTCCCATGTCCTCAGCTGTTTGGAAGTTCCTGCAGGAGCTAAATGGTAAGGAAGCAGCTTAGGGTATCCTCACCTGGCAGCTGGATGGCAATGCTGACTCTCCTGTTGCTTACAATGAGTGTGGTTACAGCAAAGCAGGACTTAGACGTGGACTAAGGGGACCTGAGTCCAGGAGATGGTGGCTCCCCATGGACAGCACTGATGGCAAATTATCTTTGTACTCCTGCAGAGCAAATTTGTCTGGCAGCACCCAAACGTAGGCAAAGCCAAATGCCTAAAGTTCTGCTGTGTTTCAAGTGACTATGTACTTTGGTAAAGCTGAATAGAAGTGGATACTCACCAAAAAAACCAAACCAAACACCTGGGAGAGTGAACACAGGGTGAACTAAGCAGGGTGGCAGCACACAGTTCACTGTGTCCTCGGTTTCAACTATGGGGCAAAGCTTTGAGGTGGATAAATACCTCGAGTCTAAATGAAAGCCAGATTAAGAAATACTGCTGTATGTGCAAAGAAAGGTCCTTAAGCCACCCATTAAATTCTTGGGATGACTCAGGGTCACCCATTCAGCAGTAAACCCATTTTCTTTTGGTGATGCAAGTTCCAGTTTGACCATAACAGCTAGAATGGAGGACCAGGGAAGAGCTCCCCTCATGCCGTTGCTCTCCCGCCAACACTGCTCCAGGCTGATCCAAGGCAGACCCCCAAGCAGAGTAAGACCCACTCAGAAGCCAGCCCTTTGGTCTGGACCCAAAATAGCATGATGCAGCTGGAAAAAAAATGAATAGCTTCATTGACATGAACCTGAAAAACCTGTTTGTGTGAATCACATGGAAGTAGCAGACAAGTTCAACTCATTTCCAGTTTCCCTAACCAGTGTTTTACTTTCATCAGGGATGTTCTGGGGCAGGACTAAACATCTTCACTAATTTCAAACCAGCACATCATCTTAGAAAGTGCTACAGCAGCTTCTACAAGGAAAGCAACTCCATACCTAAGGAGGGGAAAGAAATCAAGGCACCTTAGCTAGAGATTGATTGAAGAAAAGGAGAGGCAAGCTTCAACATTGCATTTATGTTTCTACAGCATAAAACATCCATGAGGGTTGAGCACGATACAATTCATCTTTGAACTGTGGGGCTCATGTTGAGCATACCCTCAGATAAGCATTAAATCTGAGGGTCATTAGTTAGTGTGTTTAAACCTGTTTCATGTAAACATAACATTCTAGCCTGAGCCCAGCATGTTTGCATAGGTAAGATTAGAGTCTATTACTTGCAAAATTACAGGAACTTCTCTCCATGTTACCTGAAAGATAGGGGTAGTCCAGGGCATTTGCTTCTTATCACCTGGTTTTAGTGGAAAATCCAATTCCATTAAGTACACTATTTTAACTACTGAATCAGATTTCTACACCCAGGCCACTGCCTTGGTACCAAGCAAGTTCAGAATCAAACTCAGAAATGCAGTTTCCTCCTTTGTCCTACAAGGTGTAGCACACAGCCATCAGTGTGAGGCAAGGTACACCTGACTGCTCAAGAAGACTTAACCTCCAGATCCAGAATAGCCAAAGCAGACAACCCCAGGTAGCTCAGCTGAGACCCTAACAGCACACTCCATGGCAAGACTTATCTTCACGCTTGTTGCTCAGGGCAGGGTCAGAGCACACACAGGGAATATGCACAGGTACTAGGCATGGAGCTATGAATAGCCTCCACTCTCCATGACTTCATGGTTTACAGGGTTAGGTAAGGGGTTAGACATACATTACAGATAAGTAATTATAGATATACAGATTTTTTCAGGACTCGGACCACCACTTTGCTGCAGCCTTTCACACAGCAATAAGCAAGTGTAGGAAGATGAAAGGCAATGCTGCTGCCTCTGACTCCAACTTGAATTATGCTTTTGATCACATAGTGCACACAGAGGTCAGCCATATGCACAAAACTAGTGTCTCCAGGTTCACGGAACAGCCTCAACTGATAGACCAGAGTCTTCTAGGATATTTGCATTAGCCTTGCAAGCCAGCACACCTCAAATCTGAAACACAAGGACCAGCCATTAGCTGGAAGGTTGACCATCCCAACCCACTTTGTCAGTAAGGATGAAGCCAGTAAGTTTGGAAAGCATTTTCAAACTTTATTTACAACTGTCACAGTGACAAAAATGTAGTTTGAAAAAAATGCTAGCTTCTCCCTGAGGCTCAAAAAAGAATTACAGAAATATAGAATGTATATCATACAACAGGAGGAGTTTTACTGGAGTGCTTTGTTCTTTAGATACGTTCAACAACAAATAGAAATATACACAATACTTCCAAAAAAAGGATGCTGACGGAAATATGTAAGTCTTTAGGGCAGACAGCAGGTCTGAAGTTCAAGGATTGCAATCTCATTGCTGCCCACATGGTAATATCTTTGATATACAGCTTTGACTTGGTGGTACAGACGGTAAAGACCACTAGAGAGTAACACTTAGAAATAAGACAACTGGCTGGTATGCAGGTGTACAAGCTCATTCCAGTACAAAAGCAAGACTAGAACAAGTGTTACAGATACAACAGCTGAATCCATCAGTAGAGAAAATGGTATCACCACATGACGACTGTTCGGTGATCAACTGTCCACCAAGACAGGCAGGAAGCATGTATAACTGGGTCTGTGTTGCTGGACCAGAGACCAGCTGCAGTGTAAGAACACTGAATTTCTCTTGCTTTGTGCTAACTCCTATCTTTCTGAAACAGTTATGCAGAGCTGATAAATTATTGCCATTATGTTTAAACACAAGCAAGACAAGACTAAAACAATCCTGCCAATATGTTAAAAGCAGTTCCCAACTCCCACCAGCGTTTAACTACTCATGAGGTATTAAAAATACAAATACACACATGTCCAAATAGATTTAAAAAATGGAACCAGTTATAAGCAAAGGGGGGTGGCATCAGGATTATTATGAAAGTTTGGTTAAGGCCTTGACATTTCTTTTTCTCTTCCACAACTCTAGATTTGGTTTAGGTGGTAATTGTTCTCATCCTATCCCAAGACCAACTGGCTCCTGAGCTGGTCCCCAAAGCTGCAAGATCATCACTTTCCAGGAAAGCAGCAGGTTACCCTGTCTGGCAGAAGACTCGTCTCCTCCCCAGAGACAGATGACCTCTCCTAGGAGCAGGATATGGTGAAAAGGACACAGACACAGACTTTGCAAGCTAGTCTGCACTTTGCCAAACACTCATGAATGCCTCACCCATGCTATGAAGCAGAAACACATCTTGTCTCAGGACACCCAGGCTAATTCTCCCCCAACACACACCTTCTGCAAACCCCCCCATTCCAACTGGTGATCCACACTAGATCTGGTGTTTCATCTTTGAATTACCTCCAGGTCTGGCAGTACTCCCAGACATGTACACCCTTCCAGCCTGTCCTGCACCAAGGAGGCCCTGCAATGCAAAGTTGGAGATTCTCCCACCCCAGCCCTCACAAGCCTGTTGACCAACAAGTTGGAGATGTGAAACCCTACAGCCTCAAGGACACCAAGGTAAGGAGGCACAATCCCCACCCTCTGGCTTTGGGTGCTGTACAAGATATCGACCACAGCAGCCTCAGCAAACAGGAAAGAAAAATATGAGGTGTTCAAACTTATGTGAGCGCTTGCTGCAGACAGAAGCACCTCTACATCCGATGTGTATTACCTCACACTAACCACCCGCAAGATGAACTAGGGCCTCACAATAGAGATGACAAGCAGCAGCCTAACATTATCCTGCCAATACAGCTGTTCAGCGTTTAAGAGTCTAAAGGCAAACAAAGGGGGAGAAAACTTTGGAAAAAGTGGCTGGAAAACAGGCTCAACAGCAAGAACAAGAAACCCAACTACTCCTACGGACACTCACGTTACCCTAGGAGGTGCCAAACAGGGGAAAGCTACAGTCCCCTTGTCAGTAGAGCATTTAGCCATGCTTTGCTATGGGCGCCCTTCCACCCCAACACAAAAATGGAAGCTGTAAAAAAGGCAAATCTGAGAGATGACGGCTCTGTTCTCACACTTTTAGCCAGAGGCAGCTCCTTGCCGAACGCTGCTCCCTCCGACTTTCCTCCCCTTCCCCAAGCTTCCCCCCTCCAGCGGTCCTCACATGGTCACCCTCTGCCATGTGCTTGGAATTTCACTGCTGCCTCCACCTCAGAAAAATACAGATAGTGATCTCGAGAACAGCAAACATTTCTCTGTGTTACTTCCTTCCTTCCTCAGGAGGTCTGGTGACACTGAGGGCTTCAGTTCTCAATACAGAGAATACAAAAAAACTAAGATCTTGCAGGTGCAAAATTGAACTTGTCTTTTTGTTTTTTAAAAAGACTTTCAAAAGAAGTGTGGCTCTTCCTTCAGAAGGGTGTGGTCCCTTGCCTTTCCTCAGATGCAATTTATTGCTCCTTGTTGTCCTTCTTTGCGTCTTCACAGTTTTCTTCCTCCTCTTCCTCCTCCTCCTCCTGCACAATGAATTCTTCGCGTGGCCATCTCAGCTCACCACTCTCCACATCTCCCTCCGTTGGCTCCACCACGATGGAGGGCAGGCGGTCCTTCAGCTTACAGTAACGGTCGAAGTCCGATGGATCAGGGAAGATCTGAAAGAGTCAAGAGACAGTCTGTAAGACAGGCTGTGTTCAAGCAGTCTCAGCCAAAACTCAGCTCTCAAGACACCTGGGTCTCCAGGGCAGCCTAGTCTGAACACAGAGTAAACCACTGAGCAATGGGAAGACTCTCGAACTCATAAATATGCTTCTCTAATTTCTGAGCATTGGAAATGAGCTCTTCCCAAGAGGCTTCCAAAGCACACACTTGCTTGGATAGTGTTTAGCAAACAGGCATCTGCCCTTTTGGATATTTATCCAAAAGCCTCACCCCCCCCACCACTGCTTTTGCATTAATGCTCATGAGTTTGCACACTGAGCTATCTCAATCAGAGAATCAGAGATCTCATTTCCTTCTGCTGGTCAACCCACACATGAGAACAGGCTTGTGCTCCAGACTTTGCTGCCAGAAGGGAGAGGAGGCACGTGGCAACCCAGTGCCAAAGTGGTCCAGACCCTTGCAGCAAGGGCCTGTACCTGGTATTGCTCCAGGGCCACAACACCAGATCGAAAGCAAAGTTCAACTGCATTTTAGAGAATTTTGACATGAATGCACACTACAGCTAACGTACATCAGCAGTGAGACTCAACAGGAAGACACTCATTTTGTCAAAAGGTTGAAGAATGAACCCTATTTCTTTGGGCAGGAGGCATCCGTAGCATAACTAGCAATTATGTACCCTGATGCAAGGAACATGAGGACCCCTTTATCTCCAGCCCACAAAGGTACAAAGAGCAGTACCTTATCCCTTCCCTTCCACCCATAGCTTGCCCCATGGGTGCACATCTTCATGCACTGCAGCAGCATCAGAGCCCAAACTCACAAACAGTGCCATTGGGATGCATGCTTTGATCCTACTAGGAACTGAGGCAAAAACACGGGTACAAGAGAAGCTACCAATTCAGTGTTCACAGGAGCTTTGCATGACCGAATTGCAATGTGAATAAAAAAAGGTTGCAGGTACCTACCACCTTGGGAAGGCCTGGCCCAAGCCCCAAAGTGGCACATCATCCTATCAACTTGTTCTGCAGCCTAGCAAGTATTAACCACACCATTACTTCCTTGTCAATATTCAGTATGCTACTGTTCAGCCACATTATTCCCTTCCACCCAAAGCTTTACGGCAACCTGAGAAAGCCATCAGGTTGCTACTTAGCGCAAAGTCAGGCAACACAACTTTGGGAGGAGGTGCTCAGGCAAGTGACTCAATGCTAAGGTAATGCACAACATAGGGGAAGTTTGCACACATCCATTTGGTCCTGGGAACAATGATGCAGGAGCTCAACTCCTACTACAGCACCCACCATCCAGATGCTTTTCAGGTGCACAGGAGTGAGTGAGGTCTTTGAATGCAGCCACACTACCATCAGCATTGCAGTATGAGCTACTTGCTATTAGTCACTCCTGGCACAAGTGAAACAGTAACCGTTTCTTGGAGCTTTGTGGCTTCTGCTTGGCCAAACAAAGGCAGTTTCAGACATGCGGTACATTACTGGAAGTATAGTCAGTGGCTCTTAAGCATCAGCTCGTTATCTAAACTCAGGATAGGAAAAAAATACCCTTGACATTACATGGTTTAGAAGGTTGCAATGGAAAAAAGAAGTGTGGTTCAGGAGGTTACATAAGCTGATAATGTCATGAAAATAGCCTCCTGTGCAAGAAAAATAGCAGTATAATAATTAAACTAACCTTTGGCTGCTATAATTTTAAGCACATTAGGTCAAATTAGAGCAATTTCTTTGAAAATAGCCTGCCAGATTTTTTTTCCAGAAACTAAGTTGTAGTAATTTCCTTACAAACAAATATCCCTGAAATGTGGTGTGCAGCTTTCTCAATAACAATAAAAAAACCAATCCTAGCACAGTCTTATCTCAAACAGCTGCAGGACAGGCCGAACCCAAGAAGGTCAGGATTTTTTCCACTAAGTCATGCTTTTTAATCGTCAAGGCAGCATGAAGTGAGATGTTGCAACTGCACTTTCAAGGGGTGTGGACAGTCAGTGGAAAAAAAGCACAAAGGCAGATTTCCTCCCATGTGACAAGCAGGGCAACACAGCAGACCAAGCACAGGGACCAAAGGAAAAAGATTTTCAGATTAAGACTGTCTGCACATCTGGGGAAGCTGGGTGGAAAAGTTACCCCAACCAGCCCCCCCCACTCCAAAACAAACCATGTTGCCACACTCTTAATAAAAAAAAGATAAGCAAGCACTAGCTTTTGGCTGTCCCAATCCAGCCATGCCATGCTGCATTTGTTGGTTCCATATGCCTAATCTGGTCCCACTCCAGGACTTAGACAATGGGAAATAAATAAAAAACCAAACAAAAAACAACTCTAAAACTTGGTCTCCACTGGGAATGCAGCGAGCTCTGCACCCTCTTGCACAGCAGCCAGGACAGCTTGTCTCCCAAAACCTCCCTATGAGCATTTCTGCTTACGTTACCCAGCTCAGGCACGTGGAAGGAAGATTTTGCATTTCCCCACCATCCAAAAAGCACAGCAGCAATGGGTTAACTTCTCCCTCTCACTTATCAGAGGGAGCCACCGATGCCTACTTCTGGCTCATCTGGTCACTTGATGGGGGACAAATGACAGCCACCAAATAACCACTTGGTTGTGAAAACCAGCTAAAAGCAAGTATAGCAGCAACTCAAAGGCATCTTCTTCCTCTTCACTTGCATGATACAGCACAAGGGGCTGCAACTGCTTCTGCAGAGGCCTCCCTTTTGTAGCTGAGCCCCAACTCCTGGCCCAGAGAGACTTATCCAACAACTTTAGTCCACAGAGGACACATACATTGCTTATTATGCTACTCAACACAGTGAGACTGGTTTTCACAGGCCTCTCCAGATTATGATCTGGGAACTGCTCTCTTCATGGGCTGATCCAGATCACATACAAATTAACCAAACTCTTACCTTGCAGCTGAAATGGGCAGTAAAAAGCAGAACATGAAATGAAAACTTGAAATTATTTTAGAGATATCATGTTTGCTTCTGTTTCAGATAATCCAGCTCTGCTATCCTTGAATGAAGCCTTGGCAACAAGAATGGAAAGCTTTCATTGCCCTGGAGAGCCTCATATCCTCTCTCAGCATTCACAGGGATGGTGAAACACCAAAAGCAGGAGAGATGTCACACAATTAAGAGGATTAGCTCAGAGCTACCATAATCCAAGTGACACTTGTAAACTCAAAACAACTTCCATATGTGTACTCCATACTAACACCCATAGTTAAAATGCCTGTCTCCCCTCCCATGGGGCTAAAATCTATTTCAAATGTATTACAGGGAGACTAAGGTAATGAGATCCAAATTAGGTTACTGGTTTTGGGAAAGCTTTGCTTCATTGACAAGACTGAAGAGTCTGCACTGACAGGCATACCACTTCAGGTATAGGATACACCCCTGATGTACACCTATCACTCATCCTCCCAGTACTAAAAAGCTAAGTTTTGTGCCTCTTCAGCTGTATCAAGTCAATATTCCAAATTCCAAATCAGCATTTAAGTTGTTAAAATAAAAAACTTTACTGCCATTGAGAAGCATGGCAAGCTCATTTCAGGAAATATTTAAGTCATCTGTGTCCTCTTTGGAGGAATTTTTCAGCTAAAAGAAGCAGTGCTAGTACATACATTTACTCATACAGTAGTCATGACTTGAAACCAAGCTTTATCTAGTATCCACACAGCAGTCTGTGAATCAGGTTTATGAACTATGACTATGACAACTACCCAGTCACAGACAGATTGCCCTATCTTGGGGGGACAGTGGCAGGGAGACTTCATACATAATAACTATATTCCAGAGTAACAAGGCATCAAGTAGGGCGGAAAAAACATGCACTGAGATATTCTGATTAGCTGCTCTCTTTAGTTTGCATTTCAGTGGAACACTTTTTTGCATAGCATAGCCACAAACATGATTACTTTCGGCTCTGTTTATCCCTATATCCTGGCCTATGCCTTTATTTAAGGTCCCAGACCCTGGAATACACTTCGACTCAGCCTACTAATCTTGTCTAGTAACCATGCATCAGATATACTATGTGAACAAGTTATCCTAAACTTGCTTGCTATCACCACCTTTTTGCAGCCCAGTTTCAAGTCCTTCCGCAGTAGCAGGTACCAGCTCCAATACAGGACTTTCCCCTGCGCAAATCAAGTTTGCACAAACATGAAGCACCTTACAAGCAAATAAGACTGTTACAGAGGAAGCTCAGTTTCCACCCCTCACCATCAGCCCCTGGGTCAGTAACATGTTAACAGAACATGTTGGTCCACCAATTTAGCTGGGGGGGGTATGCAGCAGATGCATCTCAAATCCCACAGCACTGAGCACTGCAGCTCCTTGGGAAAGTCAGCGCTTCACTGGTGCTGGTGAAGAGGGTGTTGCATTCACAAAAAACGACTTCCTCAACAAGACAGATGACCCAAGCTTTTGCCAGAGACTGGATGGAGCATTAAGCCTATTTACCTAGATTCAGTCATTCTGACGTGATTCACAGCTAGCTGTGGCTGTGATTAACCTAGACAGATCCCAGCATGATGCGATCATGACTTAAAGAGCTCAAGCTCCCCATGACAACCAAAACCCAGCTGATGGCATGAGGCAAACTCAGCCTCCGCAGGCCAATCTCCTAAAAGGGAGCCTAAGGTCCCAATGGAGCAGCAAGCTGCCCAGACAGCCAGTCTGCAGCAAAGTAGCACGCTCAGCTCAGGACACAGCATTTGCTCAAAATAAACACCTTGGGCATCAAAGTGTTTTCATTTGTGCTCAGATCCTGCTCTACTTCCAAGAAGCAAGGCAGGATTCCAGTTGAGGCACTGTTTTGACAACAGCTCCACGAAATTATTAATTCAATTCAACCTTGGTTTCAGTAGCATTGTTTGTGCCACTGTGAGATGGCATCAGGGGACAAGCTGGCAGAGTGCTGAGGAGGCTTTTCAGAGAAAGGGTATATCTAGGGGCTGGAAAATAGCAAAGGGAACATGAACTGTGACTGGCAGTGAAAAAAGCCTGGCTTACCGGAGATTGCCAGGCAGGAAGCACATGAAGCCCTCCATAGGCACATCTGTTTGTAGCAGGGGCATCTTGAGCCATCAGCTGCATTTCAACGAGTTTTTTTTTTGTTTATTAAGTCCCATGGGAATTATGGGACATCTATTAAAGATCCAGAAATAGCTCCTCACTGCAGGCACAAAACCCAGCATGACATCATCTCTTCAGCTGCATCTTCTGTTTTGTCTGTGCCACCCTGCTCTGAGACTCATGCCCCAATTTCACCATTCACTTCTGCTCAGGCCCTTTCAAGCCGCTGGCTGAACCATTCTCATGGGGCTCAGAGAGCAGCTTTACTTTGCAAATGTAGAAATAAACCCTGCTTTACATGTAAAAGTTTTGAAATTAGCACATTAGCTTCCAAGCATTTGGCACATTAACTGGAAAAAGGCATTTCTAGACTGAGAAAGCATATTTTGCAAGTGAAACCATACAAATTACTAAGCCTAGAACACAGGCAACTCCATTATCACTGATAGTGATCACAGACAGAGTTTTCACGTAATTGCTGAAAAAGCAGTGATGGCCAGCCCACCAAAGGCCAGGAAGCTTCACTGGGGGGTGCTCACCTTCAGCTGATGCTTAGACACACACTTCAGAGCTGAGCAGAGGCAAGGTGGAGGCGGCAGCAGAAGGAACAAGCCAAGCCAAGTTCCCTCCGTGGCCAGTGAGACAGACAGGAGCCCTGAAGTTCAGTGCACTCCACAGGACAGAGGAATCAGACTGCTCAAGTTTATACTTGAGTTTGTTTCTTCATTTTACTTCCAAGTAAAGGCAAAAATACTTTGAAACAGGAACTGTTGGTAGGAAAAGTCTGTCTGCCACAGACACCGATTTGCTTTACAGTTCTGGAAAAGCTGCTGTACAACCTCCTCTGGTCCAGTTCCACATCTGCACATGGCAGCAGAAGCAGCTCCCAGGCTCACTGCTAGCATGCTATGGACCAACTCCCTGCCTGTTCCTGCTCTACACAGCCCAAAGATGGGACATTTTGACCCTTGGTTTGAGATCATTTCTGCAGTAAAATAAATCCAAGTTCTACTACTAGAATAAGAAAAACTTTCAAAATGAAAAATTCACCTCTCCCAGTTCTGGCTCCACTTTATTTTTGCCTCTTGTAGCCAGCCAAGGGCTGTTACACTCACATCTTGAGTGCCTGACTCGGCAGATGAGTGGAGGAAGATGTTGCAACTTACAACAAGAAGCCTCAGTGTAAGAGCAGTCATGCTCCATTAGCCCTGTCTGGTTTTAAGTCATTGCACTAGAGCCCTCAGACTAGCATACAATTTTCCACGTACCAAAATCTCTCCATCAGCAAGATGGAGCACAAAGCACCAAAGTCTGAGGTAGAACAAAGAGTTCATGGTGTAATTTGCATCAGATTTATCCTTGCTGTTCTGATTTGAGTTATCAGCCCTTTAAGGATGCTTTCAACTTTTATCTACACTGTGACATCCTCAGCTTAGCAGGCAGAAGAAGAAGGCTGGAAGCCTGCTCCCCCAATCCTCTAACACTAACCTGATTTAGAGGCAGACCTCATACACAGCCCACACACTACTACTGCTCCATCAGGATCTACCACTTCAACACCTCAACCCTTGCTGCCATCAGTTTGGCTTTCATCAAAGAGAAGTACCAGCAAGCAGTTCCCAGCTCTTGTAGGCATTTGAAAAAAGTCATCTATGACTAGACCACTACAGAAGACAGGTCCAGGATGCATAAGCCTTACATAGATATGAGTTGTCAGCATTTATGACTCACCTTCAGATCAAGATGATCCACTCAAAAGTGAACAGGCCTGTTCCCCAGTTAGCCCAAGCAGACTTATCAAGGTCATTAGCACTCAGGGAAAAACATTGCTGAAGCAATCATTAGAACAAGCAGGGCACCTAAATTCTGCCTCCTGCTGGAAAATCTGGATAGGTAGAGGCATTTGACCTGACTGGCTTAAGCCTCTTTATATGGTGACCCATAAAGACAACTGAACATCCCATGCAGGCTAGTTTGATTGCTTCAGGTTTAACAACCTCTCTCATTGCTGTATACTCCCTCTGTAAGAGCAAAGAGAAGCCAGATGCTTTCCACTAACTGAGGCACTGAAGCACAGCACAGCTATTTTCACACAGAGGCAATAAACCGAGCAACTTGCACTACCCAGATCCAGAATTCTGATCAATAAACAGCAGTGCATCCCTTTTTCTTTCACATGGCTTTGGCTTCTGCTGGAGGCCTCAGTCATGGCCCAAAAATCAGTTGATTTCATGCTTCAATGCACTGTTACTGCCCTGTAGCTCATTTCTCAGACATAAATAGGGAAGCCCACAACAGCACACCTCATTTGAATGCACACTTGGAGCAACTGCCTCTGTGCAGGTTGTGTAACACCTGCACAGAAGAGCCCTGCATCGGGATCTACTGGTAAGAGTCACCCTATGCACAGACCAGATGCAAGTCATCTGCATGCGCTCAGTGTCTGTGTCAAATCTCATCAACAAGTCTGCTGGAAGACTGGGAAAACATGGACCTAGCAGCCTAAGACACACAGCTCACCCTTTGATTAACTATAAGCTAGGAAATGAAAGGGATATTGAGACTAAAAGATAAAAGCTAGATTCTAAGGCCATCTCTTTGCCCCAGTCATTGATCTAGAGGTTAACAGCTAATTGTTCGCAGCTTTAAGAATGAATGCATCTCATGTCTTTATGTACTGCTATGTCCAGTAACATTTCTAAGCTTGTTTAGGCTGCCCCAGGCCTCATAATCTTATAGACAACTGCTAGCCCTCCTAAAGAACTCTATCAGTTAGGAAAACCAGAAATAGTTCAAAAACTAAGCGCTGTATAAACACCTCTCTCCTGCTTTAGCCAGATCATTTGTATGCTGTGTTACAAAGAGATCCCAGAGTCCTCTCAGCCCAGTGAGTTGGGTAAACCCTTCTTTAACCTATCTCCCACTGAGCCCCCATGAATGCTGAATGACTGGGAGCTCAATCACTTCAGAAACAACCAAGTCCTTTGCCAATTTGGTCTGATACCGGGCAATATTTTAGACAACCAGCTCCTGCCAAGCAAGCATTCCAGTCTGTTGACTACTTCACACTACAGCAAGACCTGCTATTGGGTCAGGCTATGGAAAGGTGCATCAGACTGAGTTTGCAGTTCAGCCCAGGCAATTCCACAGAGGATGGCTGCCTAAGCAGCCAGCCAGTAAAGCACTTACCTGATACGACAGACCATCCTTGCGGGGGCTTAGCCCAATCTCATCCATAGCTGGGGTGTTCATCATCACTTCAGTCATTTCAGCCGATCTCAGATAATCAGAGCTAGAAACAAAATACAGCAGTCACATCAGCTGATGGGCTCCAAAAGGGCTGAACAAGATGCAAGTAGTATTGGGAAAGAAAAGCAAACAGAAGAGGCTGTCGGCTATTTCTGGTCCCTTCCTTCCTGCCCCCCCTTGGAAGGGGGTGGAAAGAGCTAGTAAACCGGCGCTACACCCCCTGACTTTCTCCCCAAGAGCACAGCTCAAGAACACCTCGGGAGGCTTTGCCAACACCGCTTCATTTTTAACTCCACTTCCTCCAGCTCTGCCCCCTAAGGGAGAAAAGTAAAAAAACACAGTAAATAAATGCAAGCGCTGGGGGGTTTTATTGCTTTTCTTTATTTAATTTAAGCCGGTGTGCTTCAGCTTCTGCTGACTTACTTTACAACCTCGGAGACTTCCCCACCAGCGGGGCGCACGGCGCCAATCCCAGCCCTGCTTTTCCAGCCTTAATGGCATTTCCAGCTCGGGAAAGTGAAGCGCACTCCTACACTTCGCAGCTCCATCGGTGCGGCTCATTCCGCTTTTGCCCGGCTCGGGCACCGTCGCTACCAGCCTCTCCTC